AGAGAGAGCCCTGCGTACCTGGCGGGACAGCCGTGCTCCCCCCACTACTTCACAACCATATCCCCCAGCCACTCAACTAGCCAGGCACCAGGCCGAGAGGGCAGCCGTGGTCCCCCACCAGGCCAGGCGGGTGGGATGGCGCCTCTCCCCTCCACAGAGCCCCACATTTGCAAAAAACCCCCCACACACACACAGCAGCACTTGACATTCCTGCCCACAATCCCACCTGCCTGCTTCCACCTGGCTCTGGCCGGGTCCCTCCCCACCCCTCCCACAGTCTCCTTCACACTCTTGATAACACCACTCTTTCACATGCACCCCCACATGCTCCCAGCTTCATTGCACTGCCGGCTCCACGCTCTCACCCTGGGCACACCCAGGGTTCCTCCCTGGCCCAATCAGGAGCCCTCTCGTTCAATGCAAAGCCTGCTCCTGTCTCAGTTACTAACTTCCCAGCTGCTTCTTCCCCTGGGCCTCAGTCTCTTCTGTCCTTTAGTCTGGAAACGTGGAAAGGGGGAGGTGTGGGGGGATGCCCAGGAGATGGAGCCCCACGGGTTTCAGCTGGGAGGAACTTTGGCGGGCACAGTGTAAGCCCACATGCAAGTCCAGTCTCCTGCCTTCAGGCCAGGCTTCCCCACCAGCTCCCAGCCACTTCTCAGTAGTCTGGGGGAAAAGGAACCAAGGAGAGGGAAGGGCAGCCAGCCCAGAAGAGCGGGAAAGATGGGCATTTTCTGTGGGCCTTCCCTGGGAAGGCAGGACGCCTAGATGTCCCACCACAGCATACACAGCACCCCAACCCACTCCATCCTCCACTTTCTCTTAACAGATTCCTCCATCTTTAGCCCAGTCTGCGGCCACAACACCTACACCTCTGTAACTCTCTCTGTTTAGCCACCCATTCTAAGCACCTGACCCACATCTCCACCGATGAGTTCCCACGCCACCTGGCAAGGTTGCCTTGGGGATGCAGGCCAGGGGCTGAGGGGGAGTGTACCTGCCTGGGCAGCAGGGTTGCTGGCCAAACACTCTCAGGGGCCAAGTATGTGTGTTCCTGAGTTCCCAGGGCCCAGGGATCTGGATGGAATTAGGGGCCTGGCGGGCAGGGGCCAGGGTGGGGGTGGGGTGGGGGCTACAGCAGGAAACGTGAGCTGTGAGCTGCGCTCATTAGCCCCTCACGTGCTCAGCGGATTTATAAACACAGGGGAAGATGGGGCGTAAACAATCCGCGGGCAGCAGCCAGAGCAGAGCTGGGGGGGCTGGGGGCCAGCACTGGGGAAGGGGCTGCAGCAGACCCCCAGCCGCCCACCAGGTCCACCTGTGCATGTGCGTAAGGGGGAGGAGGCTGCCCAGCGCTCGGGCCCTCTGCTCATTCCCCCTTGGGCCAGGCTGCAACTGCGTACTCCAGGCTGAAGCCCAGGTGTCCGCTGCCTGCTGGCTGCAGTGTGGCCATCCCAGCTAGGACAGCGACTAGGATGCCTCCTGGCCCCAAAGTGGAAGCATTGCCTGTTCTTGGCCCCCCACTCTACTGCCTCTGCCTGCTCCGGCTCCCGAACTCCTTCCTCCCTGGTGCTCCACGGGCTGGTCAGTCAACTCCTCTGCTCTCTGCCCTGTCCCCCCCCCCCCCCCCCCCCCCCCCCAGCCTGCAGTGACACAGTTACCTCAGAACTGAAATATTCCTGGAAACACCGGCCTTGTCTGGTTAATTTCATGAGCCGTTTTTCTGCCCAGATGACTTAGCTCTTGTTTATCCAAAGGCCTCTCCCCCTGCTGTCCCTGGGTAGGGAGCTGGTCCCCCCAGGATGTCCCATAGGGCCCAGAAGGGGAGGGGGTGAGCAAGGCCAGAGTGAGCTCCTGAGCGGCCCTCCTCTGTGGGAAGGAGCAGCACCTACCTGAAGCCTGGCTGGCAGGGCTGCCCAGAGGCAGGGTGGGGACACAGGCGAGCCCAGCCCCAGTTTCTGCTTCACCAGGTCCCTGGCATTGTCCCTAATGGTGAGGTGGGCCAGACTTCCTCCCAAGAGCTACCTCAAGGCTGGCAGGGCTGCTGCCCCCTCAACAGGTTTCCACCCACCAAAACTAGGCCCTCGTAGCTAAAGGGTCCCGGAGTTGACCCGGTCAGCTCGTCCGTGGAGCTGTGAGGCTGGTCTTGAGATGGGAACAACAGGGAGGAGAGAAGAACCCAGTCAGGCAAGAGTGAGGGATGGAAGGAAGGATGAGAGGAACGTTCAGGAGGGAAGCCAGAGGCCTCGCATGGGAAGGAAGGAAGGGGGCAGTTATGGGCCTGACCCTGGCCTTTCCCCTAAATACATGCACTCACACACACAAATCACACACACTCTCTCATTCACTTTCTCACACACTTTCTCTCATACACACACACACTAACCTTCTCTCTCATACACGCACTTGCACACGCAAATCACACACACACACTCACTTTTTCACACATACTTACACACACACACTCACAGACACTAACCTTCTCTCTCTTATACACATACTCTCTCTCACCCCCCCACACTCTCACTCTCTCACTCTCACTCTCACTCACACACACCCTGAAGCCAAGAGCCCTTCTTCTGAGAGAACAATGTCCTGTGTCTGCGGTCCCCTCCTCATACTCCAGCAATAAAGTCAGCTAGTCAAGTATCTGAGTCACCCCAGACCAGGGGGGCCAAGGGCAGAACCCCCACCCGACCCCTATATTTCTAAGGGACATTTTTATACAATTTGGGTCCTAAACCTTTTCTAGTCTGTGACCATCTCTAAAACTAAACCAACACTATGACTAACTCTAAACCTAACCCTAAAAACCAAACCAAACTCACTGCTGTCGAGTCGGATCCGACTCACAGTCACCCTTCCTTGGGTTTCCGGGACGGTATCACTATGGAAGTAGACTGCCCAACTTTCCTCCCGAGGAGTGGCCTAACTAGTCGTAATTCTTTCTTAACTCCAAGCCCTGTCCTAACTCCATTGTTGCTGTTGTGTGCCATCAAGTCACTTCTGACTTTCAGTGACCCTATATGACAGAAAACTGCCCCAAATGCCTAGGGTTTCCTAGGCTGTAATCTTTACAGGACAGAGTCCTGGTGGCATAGTGGTTAGAGTGGTTGGCTGCTAACCAAAAGGTTGGTGGTTCAAAGCCACCAGCTGCTCCATGGGTGAAAGACACGGTAGCCTGCTTTGGTAAAGGTCACAGCATTGGAAACCCTCTGGAGCAGTTCCGTGCCCTACAGGGTCGCTATGGGTCAGAACGGACTTGATGACAAGGGATCTTAATCTTTATGGGAGCAGATTGCCAGGGCTTTCCTCCTGCGGAGCTGCTGGGTAGGTCCGAATCACCAACCTTTCATTTAACAACCAAGCACTTAACTGATGCACCACCACAGCTCCTTGTCCTAACACTTGGCTCCAACTCATAGTGACTTTACTAAGCATGACAGCGTGAACCACTGCCCGGTCCTGCGGCAGCCACACACCCCTTGCTGGGCTTGAGCCCATCTTTGACTCTACTTTGAGGAGGCAGCCCTTCTCCAGTCGTATTTTGAGCACCTTCCAACCTAAGGGGCTCATCTTCTGGCACTGTATCAGTGTTTCACTGCTGTTCATGACGTTTCAGTGGGCAGTTTTTTCAGAAGTGGATAGCCGCGTTCTTCTTCCCAGTCTGTCTGAGTCTGAAAGCTCTGATGAAACCTGTCCACTGTGAATGACTCTGCTGGTATCTGAAACACTGGCGGCCCAGCCTCCAGCCTCATAGCTACACACAAGCCACCACAGAGCGACGCGCTGACAGATGAGTGGTGGTGTCCTGCCTCTAGTGGAGTCGAGCTATAAATCTATCCAACTTATTTTTAATTATTAAAGCAACATATGTCATTATAGAAATAGTTGAAAATACAAAATGTAAGCTAGAGGAAAGAACCACCCATAACTTCACACCTATCCATGCTGAAAACCCTAACTCGCCCTTGTAATGACATGCCAGCCCAACACTTAGCCACAGCTAACCCTTTGCCTGCCCAAACCTAACCACATCCCCTGCTGGACTCAAACCTCAACCAAACTCAATCAACCAAATCCCAAGTCCAAACCAGCCTGAAACTTTAATGCAAAGCCTTGAACTGCTTCAGTCTGGTTCAACCCCCTGCTGAGAGTCTGCATTTCCATCCCCTACAAAGACTGAATCAGAAACATTTTAACAAGATCCCAGGTAATTCTTATGGATACATATTAGATGATCCTTATGTATCCATAAGAATCACTAGGGGATCTATAAGAATCTATAAGGGGGATTAAATCAGAATGAACTAGTTCAAAGCTCTGCTTTGAAACTAATCCAATCCTTAAGCCTAATCTCCAAACCAAAACCAAATTCACCTCCATTGAGTCGAATCCAACTCATAGCAATCCCTCTTTGGGTTTCCAAGGTGGTATCACTACAGAAGTAGATTGCCCAATTTTCCTTCCAAGGAACAGCTGGTGGGTTCGAACCACCGATCTTTTGGTTAGCACCCGAATGCCTTAACCACTACACCACCAGAGCTCCTTAAGCCTAACCTAGCCAATGCCAATTTTATCCCTATCCTATCTTAATCCTGTCTTTACTCCATCCCAACACCACTGAATCCAGCCTAGTGCTCTTGACCTTGGACATCACCTGAAGAACATGTTTCCCAACCGCTTATGTCCCTAGCCTCTGGCCCCTGCATCCTGGACACCCACGCCCTCTGGCACCATCAGCTGGTTTGTCACATGCACCCCCCCCACACACACACACAGACACACACACACCCTCCGTCTCTGCCTCTCAGGCCCCACTGCAGGCTGATGGAAAGGTCTTTTACTCAGGTCAAACCTCCCCATCCAACACTGTAGGTAAGAATGGGGCAAACCTCCATTGCAGCCAATTCCTGAGCATGAACATGAAACATCCTTCAATCTAACACTGCCCCACACTTCCCGTCCCAGGAATCACATTCTAGAGTTTACCCACCACTGACTCCAGGAGTCAGCCCTGGTGGTCTCTTCCTAACCCTGCGGCCTCCCCGCTCAGGGTGGATGCCTCGTTTGCCTGCTCTGGGGGGTGCTGTTCCCCTCTCCTTGGCCCTCCTCATGCTGCAGTGGGACGGTGAGACTGGGAAAGGAGGCCAAGGTACACAAGAGGCCCAGGGATGGCCCAGCCCACCTTGCACACATACATACATGTTGGTACACATGCAGTGACCGACATGCCAAAGAGGCTTTCTTGGCTGCCGCACACACATACTCTCACCTATCTGCTGATGTGCAGACACACACACACACACACACAGAGACACACACATGAATACATGCCTCCACACACATCCTTGCGGGGAACGCTTCTCTTCCATCCCCTCTGCCATCTCCCTAGCCCAAGGTGGGGACAGACATCTGAGGGGCTGCCAGCTGTTGCCCTGCTGGGCCTGGCCCACCTCACACTCCTGCCCTCCCGTCCACAGGGGACTCGTGGGGGCTGCTAGCTTGCCTGTGCACTGTGCTCTGGCACCTCCCTGCAGTGCCGGCCCTCAACCGCACCGGGGACCCCGGGCCCGGCCCCTCCATCCAGAAAACCTATGACCTCACCCGCTACCTGGAGCACCAGCTCCGCAGCTTGGCTGGGACCTATGTGAGTATCACGACAGCTTAGGAGTTGGGGAGCTGGGCAAAAATGAGGAGAGGAGTTGGGGGGAGAAGAGGTGATGGGGGGCTCGGTGAGTGATGGGGTGCTGAAGAGGGGCCCTTGGGCTCCAAGCAGTCTCCCTGTCTGGCCTATCTCCTGCCCTTCCCTCTTGGTGCCCCCCTCCTCCCTATCCCTGGCCCCAGGACTAGGCATGTGGGCAGGCCTCGCACCCGCCTTGGCCCACTGCCCCACTGGCTGCTGGCCCAGCTGCCCGCCTCCCCCTGGGGGCCGGGGAAGTCTCCTCTGTTTACACCGTGTTGTGGTGTCTCTTGCACGGGCGGGGCAGGGTGGGGATGGAGGGGCCCCACCCCCCATGCCTGTGTCCCAGCTCGCCCCTGCCCCCAGTCCTGGGGCCCTGCTGCTCAGGACCCTTGGGCCTCCCCCTTCTGTCTGCCTCTCCCATCCTGGCCGGGCCTCCTCAGGGGTCCTAGGAGGAGAGGGCTGCAGGGACCCAGGCTGGTGGTGGCAGGGGTTCTGGGTGGGGATGGAGGTTGTACTATAGGAACTTGGGGCCGGTCCAGAGGTGCTCAGAGAGCCCGGGAGGGAAGGAAGAGGTCAGAGGAGCCAAGGACCGTGGGGAGCTGGCCCCTCTTCCCGAGTTCCTCTTCCATCCCAGACCCTACTCTGGAGCCAGGGAAGGAAGGGGAGGAGGGTGGTGGGGGAGCTGGCTGCGGCCCCAGGATACACCGAGGAAATTAGTTTGTCTCTGTGCTTGTCAGTGGGGGAACCTCCCCCTGGGCCCTCCCTATCCCAGGCCTCGCCCCTCTTTCCCCTTTCTCTCCACTGACATGGCCCTCGGCCCTTCCCTGGGCCCCAGGCCTCGCCCCAGGACTGCCAAGGGCTCTGCCCTCCTCCCTCTATGCCTTCCAGACCCTCCGTCCTGCCCCACTGTTGAGACTGCCTCAGTTTCTTCCTTGGGTAGCCCTGTTCCTGACAGCTAAGCCCCTCCTTGGGGTGGCAGTGAGCACCCACCAGTCCCGTCCCTGCGGCTGGGTGGGACCAGGCTGAAGCCGAGTCTCGCTGGCCAGGAACCCTCTGCTTGCTCTGCTACCCCCTCTAGCTCCCGACCCTTCTCCTCTCCTGGCTTCCCTGCCAAATTTCTCCAAGGAGTGGTCTACACCCTCTGCCTCCACTTCCTCTCCACCCACTCACTCCTTAACCCCCTGCAATCTGGCTTCCAGTCTGCTGAAGCCGCTCCCTCCAGGGTCGGCAGTCACCGCCTCGCCAGCTCCGCCGGGCTCCTCTCACTCTCCCTGCTCTGTTTGCGGCCACACTGTCCAGCTCTGCTGCCATGGGCGGCCCCTCTTCCCCAGCCTCGCCTCCCGGCCACCTGCACCTCTGCGGCCTCGCCTCCGGCTCCTTCAGCAGCTCCTCTTCCTCTCTGCCCTGTCCCCGTGAGGGTCTGTGCGCCCAGCAGTCAGCGAGTCCTGACTGAGCGTCCGCTGCGGGCTCTCTCTTTCTGCACCTCTGCATAGAGCTTCAACTGTCACCTCCCTGCAAACGCCATCCTGGTTGGAGAGACTCAGGGAGGCCTGAACAGAAAGGCATAGCCATGAACGGGGCCAGTAGCAGGGCAGACGGGAACTAGACACTTGGGGGGCAGATGGCCCCTTGGGGAGCCGTGCCCTGCCCTCCTCCCTCCCCACTGCCCTCTCCTTTCCGCAGCTGAACTACCTGGGCCCCCCTTTCAACGAGCCTGACTTCAACCCACCTCGGCTGGGGGCAGAGACTCTGCCCAGAGCCACCGTCAACTTTGACGTGTGGCGGAGTCTCAACGACAAGCTGCGGCTGACCCAGAACTACGAGGCCTACAGCCACCTCCTGTGCTACCTGCGTGGCCTCGACCGCCAGGCCGCCACGGCCGAGCTGCGCCGCAGCCTGGCCCACTTCTGCACCAGCCTCCAGGGCCTGCTGGGCAGCATCGCGGGCGTCATGGCAGCCCTGGGTTACCCGCTGCCCCAGCCCCTGCCTGGGACAGAGCCCACCTGGACCCCTGGCCCTGCCCATAGTGACTTCCTCCAGAAGATGGATGACTTCTGGCTGCTGAAGGAGCTGCAGACCTGGTTGTGGCGTTCAGCCAAGGACTTCAACTGGCTCAAGAAGAAGATGCAGCCTCCGGTGGCTGCGGTCACCCTACGCCTGGAGGCCCATGGCTTCTGATCTCTGCCTTACCATCCTCCTCCTCCAGCTCCCCTGGAAACTGTACACCAACACCTGTTGAGCCAGGATACAGAAGCCATGGGCCTCTGGCCATCCCCTGGCCTGGATGGGGTGTGATGCAGTAGCCCCATCCCCTCCCGACCTCCCCAAGTCCTACAGGTCTGGGGAAGAGGTGCAATAGGCCCCATCCCATTTCCACAGGAAGTACTGCTCATGGGAGCCCAAGGTGGTTTAAGCTAGTGAAAGGTCTTACTGCCTCCAGCTTCCTGCCTGCCACTGCCGGTGCCTCCCAGCCTCTCAAGCACACTTCCAGGAAGCATGACAGTAGGGCAGGGATTGGGGCCAGCATAGCAAGTGCCTTTCTGGGGTGAAGCCCTTTGGCTGCCCTCCTCTCCTTGGATGCGTGTTGTTTCTCTACCCCAAAGAACTCTACTTGTCTGGTTCAGGAAACAAATATGGTGGCAAGACGAAGCAGGAAGAGACAGGACTGAAAATGGAAGAGGTACTGGAGGTGGCCTATCAACCTGAGGGGTGATACTGAGAGCAGAGGGGCAGGAACAGATTGGACCCAGGGGCCGCCAAGGCAGGCAGCGGGCCGCGTCAGACCTTGCTTCGCAGTGTCTTGCCGGCGGCGGGTGGTGCCCCCCTCCTGCCCCTTTCCCGGGGTATCTGTGGGTTGCCAAGGCTGGGGAGGGCAACCATAGCCACAGCCACAGGATTTCCTGAAAGTTTACATTGCAGTAGCATTTTGGGGTGTGTGGGGGGCAGCTCCCCCTGGCCCTGCCCCCCAGCCCCACCCACTCTTGACTCTGTTTGTGGTATTAATATTTATTTATTTGGAGATATTATTTATTAGATGATATTTATTGCAGAATTTCTATTCTTGTATTAACAAATAAAATGCTTTCCCCAGAATGTGGTCTCTGCCTCACCCGCCCACCCTGTTTCTTATTCTTTGGTGCTCCTGGCTCTTTGCCTCCCTTGGCTCCCACTATCACCAGAAGGCTGTCGGTTCAAATCCACCAGTCACTCCTCGGAAGGAAGGTTGGGCAATCTACTGCCATAGTGATACCAACTTGGAAATCCAAGGAGGGGTCGCTATGAGTTGGGTCCGACTCGACGGCGCCGAACAACAGCAGCAGCATCACTAGTGACAGCCAGGAGCCCCAGGCTCCACGCAGGAGATGCCGGGCTTGGGGGATGCTCTGCCCCCTCCTTCCCCCCAATGGCACTTCGTCCACCAACTGAGTCAGGAGTCCCCCCAGACACCTTGTCTGTTACTTCCTCTCTCCCCACTTGTCTTCTGTCCTCCTCATCCTTCTGGACCACTTACTGGCCTCACAGCTCTGGCTCCCCACTCGGAAGGTCTCCACCCCCACACTGGAGCAGAGCTGTTCACCTGCCCCTCTGGGGCCCTTTCCCAGGGGGTCAACCCGTGGGCACTCAGTCCTCAGTCTCCCCACAACCCTCACCTGCTCCTCACCTCATTCTTTATAACCTTCATCTCCTAGGGAGGGGGCAGACTATAGCTAAGTCATAGTTCTCAGCTGCGATGCTACTCCTCTCTCCAGCAGAAGGAAGTCTATGGGGTGGCAGGGGAGGGCTCCTACTGGGCTGCAAGGGAGCGAGATGGATCAAAGCGTGACCTAAGCTCAAACCCCAAGTTCATAACCACTAGCTGGACAACCTTGGACAGATCACTTACCCTCTCTGAGCTCCAGTTTCCCCACCGGCAAAATGAGGGCAACACCCTGACAAGATTGCTGGGTAGAAAAGAGAGATTGCAGGCAAGGGCGGGGCGCTTGGCTATAGCAGCAGCAGCAGCAACTGTAACACACATCCCTCAGGACCCACCAGAGCTGTGTGGGAGTGTCATTGTTGGGACACCCCAGTTAAGAGCCACTGGGGAAGTAAATGGGTTAGCTGCCCCCAGGTAGGAGAGGATCTTTCACAAGGGCTCCAGTGGACAATGCCTTAGGCCCAGGGTGTAAGGAATGCTGTGACGTCAGCTGTCTTAAAGACCTTCATTACTTTCCCATCACTGTGTTAACTAGAGGAGGAAAGCCAGAAGTTCGAGACCCAAGCCCAGACGCTGCCCATGAGGAGCTTGCCATCCACTTGGGAAGCAAAGACCAGCATTCCTGAGACAATAAGAGAAAAAAGCCCACCCATGTGCCATGGCCTGGGCAGGACCAACACATGCATAGCCCACGGAGAAAGGGGAGACCTGCGTGGTGGAGAGGGGGCAGGAGGGACTGGGCCTGCTCATGGGCAGGGCAAGCCAAGCTCTGCTGAGTGTCCCTGAGTCACCTGGTCCAAGGTAGAGGGGCTTTCCCATCCTGAGGGGTCTAGGCTCTTAAGGCATCTGCCAACTATAGTCAGGGCCACCACCAGGCCCTGCATACTGCCCACCAAGACAGATAAAAGGGCCATCTGGACTCCTGCACATGGGAGCGGAAGGCATCACACGAGGGACCAGGAGGGATGCGGAGAGAATACTCAGCCTCCACCTGACAGTGAACTTCTCGAGGGCAGATGCCGAGTCCTCCTCCATCTGCCTGTCACCAGCACCCAGCCCAGGCCCGCCCCAGCACTCAGTAACTGTGGTGAACAAAGGCGACAGGACGGCATCCACCCAGCCCATGCTAGAATACAAGGCAGAACGTGATTAATGCAGAGAAAGATGCCGGCAAAGGGCTACGGGCGTGGAGGAAGGCGTGCCCTTGGTGGCTGAGCGAAGGCCCTGCCACTCTGTGGGCCCCACGAGAGAGGGGCGAAGGTCTCCAATTTTTGTATTTCCAGGGCCTGGCTCACAGTAGGTGCCCAATAGTCACCTTCTGCATAAATGACAGTGGTCTTGGAGGATGGGCAGAATTTTGAGAGATGGGGCAGGACCATGGCTAACTCAGTCTGCTTGTCTCCCAGAGAGTGTCATGAGAACAGAGAGCAGGACTCACTCAATTCTGCATCCCTAGCAGTGGGCAGAATGCCTGGCACGTGGTGAAAGACTCTGTGGTTTGTTGGATTAAAAAGCTTCAAGGTCTCTGGGTGGCACAACGACTACTAACCTAAAGATTGGAGGTTCGAAACCCCTAAGGGTGACACTGAGGAACAAAAGCTTAGTGACCTGCTTCCATGAAGATGATGGCCAAGACCACCCCACGGGCAGTTCTGGTCCATAGCACTTGGGGTCGCCGCCAACAGGACCCGATTCGTCAACGACGGGTTGATTTTGGTTTGAAGGAGAATCCGGGTGACCGTGCACTAGAATCAGAGATGAGAGTCTTTAGAGGCAGCTGATCAAAAGTTTCAGGTGGCCCAGAGGAACTGAGGAGTCCTCTGGTGGTCACCGGGCTGTTACAGGTGACCTTAGAAAGAGCAGTGTGAGGCAGACGTA